AATCTACTTCCTGGAGAGTCAGCTGTAGTTCCCTCTCAGTGTCACTAAGTATCTGCTGTTGTTGGTGACGTCCCGAGTGAAAAAATGTTGACGTGAATGGGAACAACAGCAAAAGTTCCCAGGGAGGAACTTGACGTAAACAATGACTGAATATATGACAGCTGTTCCGTCACCAGTGTGTGATTACACTGATTACCCCTAATAATTCACTAAGTAATGACTTCCATATCAGAGGACACTAAATAAAACACTTCAATCTGAGACGTCAGCCACTTAAAATAACACCACAACTACACTAAAAAGGTATATGGGACTTTGTTCAGAAGCATAATTCAACACACAACATACACCCAGCCTCATAACAAACACTTAACACTTAACTCATCTCAGCTTTGGAGTGATTTGTCAGTAAATCAATTACTCACCTGACCAGGAAATAAATCAAACACTGTTTTGATGACTGATTAATCATTTATGTTGATTTTCAATCAATGATGCTAAATATATGCTGTAGAGCAATTAGACGATTAATTGATTAGTTGAACGATATAAAGCTATTTTGATGGATTAATCGCAAATCTTAAATCAATTAATTTTAAAATGACAAATATCACTCATTCCTGCTTTATCATCTATAAACACTCTTTGGTCTTTCATAATTTTCTTTGATAGTAAAATTATTACTCTGAGTTTTGGACAGTTTGTCAACCTGAACAAGAACTCTGATGGACATATTTGATTATTTCTTTTGTATAAAAATACAAAATAATCGATAATGAAAATGATCATTAGTTTTAGTCCTAATTTTCTGGTTCAAGCATTGCAAAAGAAAAGGTTGGTGGCTTTTCTTTGTTTTCCTGTATCCCTGTACATTTCATTGAATGTGTTGCTCAGACAAAACAAGGAACTTAAAGATAAAATAAAATAAAATAAAATAATTTATTGTCCTAAATTTTAGGGACCAAACAGTTAATGTAGAAAATAACTGACATTAATCAAAGAGGAAATAATCATTTCTTGCTGCCCTATGGGTGGGTGATGTGGACTGTGGAAGTGTAAAATTGGTTTTGGTTTTGATTACACTATAAACAGCCAACTAGCCTCAGACATTTGAATATGTTATCTCTCATGCATTCAAGGACAACATTTAAGCTAGAAACCCTCATATTATATTTTTCAGGCCACATTAAAGGTCATATCACTATTAAATGAACATCCCCTTGCTCTAGGTGGAATACCTCAATAATGTTAACATTTACATATTTCAATAATGAGTCCTCCTACATGTATTCTGTGTGTGGTTGGCACCTCTCATGCTCTGTTGGACCAAAAGCTTGACCAATACACTGTGTGTTTACAGTGGAGATAATGCAAAGTAGTCAAAGCATTAATACAATTATTTACATGCATGACATTTTGACAACTGACCTTGATGTAAGTGTAAATGATTACTAAATATTCCACAAACCCTGAACTTGGTTTGAGATGAAATAGATCTCAAACCATACATAACAAATGCACGTCTGGTAAGTGTTTTAAATGGTGTGAGGGTTTAGGAGAGGAGCAGCAATTACAGTCAGCTGTAAGATAACAATAGCTCACTGAGTCATATACACTTTGGGTAGTTTTATTCCAGCTCACCTCACACTGTCCATCAGTGTCCAACAACTGGAAGCTCGTCAGCCACACGCCGGGCTCCGTGTCCATGTGGACGTCCACACAGTGACTCGGCCTGAGCCACAGCAGCTTCTTCATCCTGCCCACCCTGCTGCGGAGGCCGCGGGACTCCCCTCCATCACCTCCTCCACACACAGGAAGAATGGTCCTCATCTCCCGCTCTGTGTCACGCTACGGGCCCACACACCTCGTCAGATCTCCCCCACACCTGCTGCCTCTTCTGTGTCAGGGAGGAGAGCGTGAAAACATTAGGCATGGTCGCTTGCTGCATTGTTTTCTTTACATTTTATCCAACCATCAAAGAAGCATCCAGGTCAGCTGTAGGCAGGTTACACGTTGAACAAACATGAGCCCTAAAAAACTGGGTCAGTGGTAGTTAAATTTATGCACAAAAATTTGATTTACCATGCTGGGACAGAAATAGGGTTAATGTTTCAGCCTAAATAACTTCATTAGGAGCAGCACAGCACAACAGCATAAATTACCTTAATTCAATGAACTCCCTTCGTAACAAACAGCCCCTAAACTGACATACAGAGTCATTTTGTTTAAACCGATCTTGAATCAACACAGTTTTAAAGCTACCAACAATCTGTGGTAGCAAAGAAAGGCATATAGATGACTAAATGACAAAACTGGCAAAGCGTATATGCTGCACCCTGTATAGTGGAAATGTTAATATGGTCTCAAATGGCCTCAACATGAGAGCAATAAATCAATGAAAATATGAAGTCTGCAATGAGTTACAGCACTATATAAATGTATGGTCAAGGCTTAATACAACCATAATATATCTCTTTCTTTTTTTTACAGTACAAAATGACACACAACTCCACTTACAACCACAGCTATTGAGAACAATTTTTTTTCTACAGCATTCCCAAGAAGAATCTGGATATTGTAGCATTCAAAAGATACTCTGGATGCAATCAAAAACCCATTTACATTAAAATTTTTTTACTTAACCTTAATTTTGCTTCTCCTGAATCCTGATGAAGACCATGTTCAGAGCTGTACACGTCCAGCCAGAATATTCATGAAGAGACAGTGTGAAACTTGCATGGAGGAGACTCTGGCATTTATCTGTGAGGACGGATTGTTCTTTGTGTTTGTGGGTGGATGATGCTCTGCGCGCATGTTTATGCCGTGTGAGTGTGTGTGGTGTGTGTGTGTGTGTGTGTGTGAGGAGTGTGTATGTGTTGGAATAGATTCCTCCCTGTTTGGCTGTACACTGAGATGTATAATTGTCCCATTTTGATTGCATCCCATCATTCCAGTTCACTGGCCTCCTCATTAGAATAAAGCACAAACTCTCTGCCCTCATTTTCACCTGGACCATAGACAGAGTGAGACACAGACACTGAAGCATACATGTGGATGATTTGATTCTGCTTCAACAAAGTGCGCAGACTTGCAGAATCATCCACATTATTAGGATATAAAATGCGTTAATTTGAACTGGCTGATGATTCCAAGTCGTTTGCTGATAAGATGCTGTCTCTTACCTGCGGGTGGGTTACAGACTGGGTGACCCTTATAAAATCGTGACAGCGTGACACGATTTAAAGCCCACAGCCTGCTGATACATATTGGCTGGAGGCCTGGCGGCAGGACATGTTGAGGAAACTCATTCACGCTTCTGGCAGCGATTCAAACCCTGCAGAAGGAGGCGCAGGCCCGCCTCCTCTCACTGATTGGTCGATCGGCTGGAAAGGAAACTATCTATCAAATGGATGCGCATCATTTACTACTACTGTGAGAGGCACGGATGTAATTATTGATTACCGGTATATTTGGTACGTATATTAGCCGATCAGTGTCCAACACGAGGAGGTTCTTTCCATGCTGTGAATCATTCAATCAAACTTTATTTTTGTGTGAATGCATTTAATATTTTAGTATATGTAGGCCTACAGTGTATAATGAGATGAAATCTGGATGTCACAACTTTCACAAGTTTAATATTGAACAGGATCACTATGACAATACAATATATTACAGTCAAATTTGAGTTACATGCTATCTATTTATTTAATTTCATATTTGTCTTTTGTCCTTTTGTTGGACTGAGTCTGTGTTTCTTGTTCTGATCAAATACAGTAAAGAATCAAATGCAATCGAATTTCTTCCTTTTACACTTTATTTTTATTCATTTCATGACAATGGTCTAAATCAATTCCCAACCTGGGGGGTCCTAAAATAACATAATTATGTCTCTAATCTTATTTCCTTTCTTCACATGAAATATAAGATACATTCAAGTCTTCAGGACTATAAAAACCCTTACAAAAACCGGGAAGAACAAAATCATCATCCACACTAAAGCAATAACCTGTGAGTAGTAGAGATTTAAAGAAGGTGATCTTGATCTAGCTTTTATTAATTAAAACATAATACCAAACCTAAAGGCTAAACATTGATTGAATAATTGTAATTTGTTGGGATAAAAAAAGCAGTCGATGTTGGATATTCTGAATGTGGCCTTATTGACAACTGCAGTCTGAGTCAACTTTCTTCTTCTATATTGACCTTCCAAACATCATATAGGTAAAATCATAATATTAACTACAGTTTACAGAGGCTAAAAATAAAACTAGTGGATTTAAGACAGCACTGAACTCTAACAGGTCACTAACAGGAAAGAATCAAAAGTCTAAAAACTCTCCAGCTGCTCTTCTTTTAACTTTCCCTGGAACTTACTGCGCATACACACACACACACACCTATACACATTCAGTGGGTGATCAAAGAGCTTTAGTTCATAGTCAAAAGTTGTCCGTCTGGTTACATTCTGTAAGTCATTCAATCACAGCAGCTGAGACGTCAACCAAACAATTAAGAGAACACTGTTGAGGTTACAATTTGACATTCTGGTATGAAGAATTGTTGTTCTGTCAATAACTCAAAAGATAATCCACCTAACACCAAAGACCTTGGCTCAGTCAACCACAAAGCCTTTGAGTGAAGAGGCAGAGCAATTTTTGAGATGCTGAACATAGCAAAAATAGTTCAGGTGTTGGCTCTGTATTTCTACAAGCAGGGTAGGATTAACACACTGCTCTGTATCACACCTTAAAGTGGGACATAAAGTGTTTAGCGTCAATGTGGTTCACCCCTTAAATACAGGCTGGATTCGTCAGCGGTGTTGGCTTTCAGTGAATTGCAGATCATGTTTGTGAGATAAAAACCATTACATTCACAATGGACACGTTTCCATCAGCAGGACAGTGACAGAACACCTGTGGACACAAGTTACCTGCCCACCTACAGACATTTATTTTATTGGTTTCCCCTGAAGCTGAAGGTAGAAATTCTGAACTGTGAAAAAGAGGCGGAGAAATGAGTGTTGGTGCAACAGTGGCACCTGACAGAGAACATTACTGTTGTCAAAACAAACTCACTTATACAACAAGTAACCAGTGAAGGCACAAAAATATCTATTCTTCATCTCAGGTAAATTGTGCTCATCTTACAGCATGTCCAAAAATATATTTGCATTTGCATTTTCAGCTAACAATTGACTTGAAAACTAAGATTCTTTGTAGCAACTTATAGTAAGCTCATTTCACACTCAAATCAGTTTTGAGACTGCGACGTGGCTCAGAACTTGCCCTTCTTCTTTTTCCAGGGCTTCTTCTTTGACTTGGAGTCAATGATCAGCTGAGACTGACGCTTGAGCGCCTCCCTTGAGATGATGTCAGCCTCGTCCTCCTCGCTCTCGTCCTCTGAGACACAACAGTGACAGTTTGAGACAAAGACAGGTTTAGACTGTGTGCTTGTATTAGTGTGTGTGAGTGTGTGCGGCTCCCTACTCACCGTCATTGAAGAGGTCCAGTCTTTGGTCCTCAGGTAGCTTGACACGGGTGTTGTAAGCTGGCAGTTTCCCCTCGATCCTGACGTAGAACTGCTCAGAGCAACAAAAAGACACACAATGACCACAAGTAAAACATTATTTTATATTTGCCAATGTAATTTTCAATATTTAATAATTAATCATCAAATCCCATATGTCGCATGGAAATCTGGCTTCTATCCTGACTTTTTTTTTTAAGTAGGTCTTCTCATGCTCAAGCAATAGAAAATGTGAAAAGTTATTCACAAAAAATATGTCAATGTTTAATTCTAGTATTATGTTTATTTTTCCTGTGTAGGTGATTTATTTTAGATTTACAACTTTTAAACTGAATTTGTTAGTGTTTTTTAGAAACAAAAACTTTAAGAGAGCCACATTTGAAGTTGTAGAAGAGATGGGATCTTTTTGAAATGTATCTATAGAATCTAGACTACAAACCACTAACCACTGTTTTATCTATTTTATATTATTATAAGCGGTCTTTTACATAGGTCTGGTGGTGTTTACCTATGATAAGTGTTAACACTGACTCCTAGAGTGATGTTTGCGTCTGTGTCCTCATCATCTAACAGGTACTGTATGATGATCAGCAGGTCGGTGTCTCGCAGACTTGATGTTCTACTTTGTGGTAGAAGTGCGAGTTAGGACAGCCAAGCAGTTTCTAACTGTACCAGTCAAGCAAACAAGGCTAGACTGATTTTAAAATTATCACCTCAGATTTACGTCAATCACAAAGATTATGCCTTCTAAAAAGGGATCTGAGAGTAAAATAGTCAATGTCATTAGTAAATGACTGTTACGTGTTTCCTATGGTACACTCTGATATCCCATGTTCTCAAACAGAGCAGGCGCTGCCAAGCGTTAGTAATCACAAGCAAACAGTTCAGGTGGCTCTAATGGCTGCCTTTCCATTCAGATAAGCTATGCAACCACAGCAGCATGCATGCATACATGCTCAGCCATGCTCTGTTCATTTGTCACTCTGTGCAATGTAGGCTTATACAAGAGACCTAACATGCCCTTTGCCAAAACTGCATTTATCATTGAGTTAACTGTGTAAGTTAAACTTACAGTTAGTTCATGTCAAAAAATTTTACACAAACTTTTTTGAGTTTTGATGTTCCCAAACCCTTTCATCAAAACAAACACAATACCAGCACTCACACATAAATAGTCTAGATAAAATGTTCGCAAACTGAAAGGTACTTAATACATAAGACTGAATGCCCAAGCCCAGAAACATAGAGCAAGAAGCTATATATAAAGAGCTATCCAGAGTAATAAATTATGGATAAATGAT